CATGGATAAGCTGGCATTAGCTTTGGAGAGGCTAGCTACTAGCATGGATAGGGCTGTGTCCAAAACGGCAGGCCGGGTCCTCCGAAAGTCGAATTTGTCGGCCGCATACGTCACAGCGCCGCGACGAAGGACGTCCAAAACCGAAGACTCCTCCGATGCGGCCGACAAATACGTCCTTCCTTTGGCCCGAATCGAAGGACTGGTCTGATGGATCCTTCCCGGCCCAGCATATCCCATAATGCATTGCGGCCCGACCGGAGATTTTTTTAATGCTAGTAATGGCAGACGAAGCGAGAGAAAAGAATACATTTTAAATAAAAAATATGGTGATATAAAATTTTTTTAAAAAAATTAGCAGTTGTAATTCTAATACTTTTATATTTGTATGGACATGTTTTTAAATACTATTTTTTCGTCATAAAAAACGCGAAATAAACATGAACCTACAGTGGGTCAGTTAGTTCTTCAAATGATACTTTTAAGTTAATTTTATAGTTTTGTGATATTAATAATGCTAATGTATTGATATTTTTCTAGTTTTGATTTAAGTTTGCTTGTTTAGCGTCGTCACAGTTGCTAGGTGACAAGACGTACGCCAGGGTAAGGAGGGGAGGCTAGACCGTCCAAATCCACAGCCTCTTTTTTCCGGTCTTCCCGGTCTACCAAGGACCCGGCCCGCCACGACCGGGTAGTCTGGGTCCTCCGAAGGACCCGGCCTGTCGTTTTGGACACAGCCTAAGCTGGTATTACCTTTGGAGAGGCTAGGGACTAGCATGGATAAGCTGGAGTTGGCATCACAGAGGCTAGGGACTAGCATGGATAAGCTGGCATTAGCTTTGGAGAGGCTAGCTACTAACATGGATAAGCTGGCGTAGGCATCAGAGAGACTAGTGACTAGCATGGACAAGCTGGCGTTAGCATCAAAGAGGCTATGACTCGCGTGGATAAGCTGGTTGCACAATAGTCTTAATTTTTGCCCCATAGACAGATCAGTATCAATAGTGATATAATTGTGTGAGCAGATGACAAGATTTGTGATTCCTAAAAATTCCAATTTATTTTATATAAAGGTTGGCTTTAATTTGCAATAAAAAGATAGAGTCACGTATTTTGTTGAAGGCAGACAGAGGAGTGAGGGGCAGGATTAGCTGGCAGTGACTCAGCACAGTTTGCTGAGGACACGACCCGAGCCACCGCTGCTTCACATCTCTGATGGAGAGGTGTCAAGAAAAGCAGGTCAGGTGGTGGCATCACTCCAAACCATTACTGACATTCAGAACAAAAGGAGGAACAGCTTCCCTTAGCACAATAAAACAAGACAGCTAACTCAGCTGATGCAGAGAAGTAGCAGGTGGCGAGTGCGTGTCCATCCATGCGAGTCTCCAAATAAGTAACCACCTCCCAGAATGTTTTCCCAATAAGTTTAAAAAAAAGAGACTTATCCTTCATTAACTTACTTCCATCCAGCTGCAAGCTGCTGACTTTCCTCTGACCCTGACAGCATTGCCTGGTAAGCACGAAGGCTTAAAGAGAATGATATGATTACATGCATGCATGTGCAAAATATGCAGCCTTCCAGTGTTTCATTGTTTAAACTCATACAAATATTGAGTTGTGGCCAATTATTAACTTTTTTTTTAAAAATTGTCACTGGAAAAACTAATGCTTTGCTGTTCAAAATGGTAAACATTAACCTCATGGGGAAAAACATTACCAAAGACTCCCATGAGATGATTTTATGTTTTGTAAAAATGTGAAAGTGAGGTGGGGGAAGTCAGAGTGTGAGAATGAGGTCAAAGCAGAGGCAGACAGAAAATTCTGACTGAAAACACTTCCACGACAGAATAATAGTCCCATCTGATGGTTACTGATGGACAAAACACCTCCTATGAATTCTTACAGCTGAGCTTTTTTAGTCTGATGAATAGTAAATCTTCCTGCAGGCAACTGGAAACGCTGTACAAAATTTTAAGATTAGAAAAGAATAATATTAATTTAAAAAACATGTTGGACTAATGCTATCACCATTAAACCAACAAGTTGTCAACCATGAAATGGACCAACAAGTGAAAAAAAAAAGGAGAGGACAGAAAGCAGGAAGCTGAAGTTTTATAGGAGGAGCTCCCCCTAGTGGCTGATGACAGTATGACTTTTAAGTCGCCCATGTAAACAAACGGGACATTTTCCTAAGAAATAAAAACTACACTTAAGATAGTTGATTAAATTAAATGGGACAGTGCATAATAATGAACGTGCACTGTTCATTATTATTATCCATAAATATATCGGATTTAGCAAAATGCTAATTTCCAGCCATAGTCCCATGCGATAAATGTTTTCAGCTGTTAATTTTTGTGATCTGTTAAAAGCCTTTATGTTACGTTTAGCTTCAGTTTTGGGTTGAACTCTGTACAATCGATTAACAATTTTACAAATAATGAGCTAAAGTGGAGTATTTGAGACTGATCCACGACTCGTACCTGTTTAGCCGTTGCAAGCTAAAGATTGATCTAACGCACTCCCCTCCCTGCTGGGGGTCATTAGGGTCTTTGTTATCTCGCACAAACACAGCATATCGCGCAGTTTAAAGCATGGAACTCTGCACTCCAGGTTTTAAATTTAAAAAGCTCCCTGGATGGGGAACCAAACATGTTCAAGTACAGTCTGGAAATCCAGTTGCTTCAGTTTTAAAGCTGAAGGATTTGCCATGTCCTGGGAAACACACAACATCATAAGGCCAGGCCTTTAAATCATATTTATTATTAAACGCTCTATATTTTAAAGGCTACATTCCATCATAATAACTTTTTTCTTTTAGACTGGTTTGGTGTGTTTTGTCTGTATTAAATTCTTCCAGCCACAAACATCTTCCTAAGTGTTCTGCCAGGCCTCTTCATTTGCTGTCTAATGCCAGGATTAGACTCCACATATTTGGTTCGATCCCTTGCAGAGGTTTCTCTTTCCTCTCCCTCTCTCCACCCCCGCATCTCTTCCTCCTCTTCCTCCATCATCTCAGCCAACTCACCCTGAGCGGTGAGTTTATGGGTCTCTAGTTTTTTCCATGGTCTGAGTGTCTCCCTGCATGCTGACACAAGCAAGAAACAGTCACAGTTCAGCCATAAACTTGTGTACACACAAAAACACACAAACACAAGCCATGCACGGGGGAGAAAACATTTCCTCAGTGTTTTGCTCTTAAACACTCTTAAACAAACACTGCCGTTTAAAGGGTGACTGCTTTCCCCTCACTTTCCTACAGCATACTGTGCAATATCAAATGTGTGAAATGTATCTCAAGTGCAATATTTTCAAATAACTAAGACGTATATTTTGTAAAAACATTCTCATTCTTAATTTCTATAAATAGAAATTCTTCTATTTTTTGTTTAGTGTACATTTTGTCTTATTATATTTAATTTGTCTATTTTATTTTATTGTGTCTATTTTTTTTACTTTGTCTTGTCTACAAAACAAAGTACCTTGGAGTAGCAAATCCAATTTCAATAATGTAAATTATAATGAGAATAAAGGCGATTCTGATTCTGAGCTCATTTTGATCATTTATATTAACGCATCCCTGTGTCTGAACATGACGAGATACTGTGTTTAAAAACAAGGTCTGAAAAAATACAGCAGATGAGCTGTACCAGAAAAAAAAAACATTAATTAAAGGCCAAGAAATGAAGAAAGGACAGAAGCTTTCGTGCCAGAATTTTAAATTAAGATCATTTTACGTTGACAAATGGTGGGTTTAAAGCCATTCAGATCAAGCCTTCTACGTAACATTTTGTGCAGTTGCATGCATATTTAGGWACAAATTGTGTCTTTGAATTACCTGATAAAAAATAACTTAAAAGGTCCATCCTTTGAGTTTAGAATTTTTTTTAATGTCTGAATGATTCATTGGTCAGAGTCGAGCTTCTTCTGAAGAGTCTGGACAGAAAACGAATAAAAAATAAAAAATGCCCAAAGCTGAATTTTGAAACAGCAGTCCAGACCACTATAAAAGATTATAAGAAAGGCTGGATTCTTGGAAGCAAAACCATAATAATATGAAAAAAGTGGTTTGACTCAAGACTTTTGCACAGTACTGTATGGCTGCCAGTGTAATTTCAGCCAGGAATCTGAACAATGCTGTGATCTGAACTGAGCCTGACACCATGTAGGGCCCCATGCAGCTGATTTACCCCCATCCACATCTGCCCCAGTTATTCAGGGACTCTTTTGGGGTCTTATTTGTCACAAATGTTTTTTTTTTCTTTTACAAATGTTTAAAATAAGACGACAGAGCACTAAAGTTTCCTGTCATGCTCACAATGGGGCTAAATAATTCCGTAGCAGTGCTGTATCGTGACAAACATCCTCCGAGCACGACGTCGCAGATGTTATATGTGTCTCTGAGGTTAACCATATTCAGCCTGGAGCGTGCTCAGTTCTCCATCCAGMACAGCGAGAGGCCCGTGTCACTTATCTGAGGAATTCACCCCAACTGTCTCCTCTTCATAAACACTCCCCTGTGGAGCACATTTCTCCCTCTCACACCGGCTTTCTCAACCCTCTGGATCTTTGTGCTGCGCAGACAGTTTGCTTTGAAAACAGCTGAAAGTAAAATCTAAACAAGAGCGTGTTCAACTGAAACAATATCCATCATGCAAAACCCACAGTGTCTAAAAACGTCACCTGGAAGTTTTACTCACGACTCATGTTGCCAACGTAATTCACTTTGTCTTTTGTGTTTCTTTAACCCATTGTCGTGGACACGTTTATCAAGAATGCAGAAACACGTTGGAATAAATGCACAGAAAGTCTGCGTGTATGGTCGTGAATTATTTAATTCCGGGCAACAATAAACAGAAACCAAATCAAGGAAGTCTGTTGAATTGTGGCCCGGAATTAAATAATTCACGACCATACACGCAGACTTTCTGTGCATTTATTCCAACGTGTTTCTGCATTCTTGATGAACGTGTCCATGACTGTTTATTGGCGTTGTCTTAAAGGCGGTTCCGAGGACCGGAGCTACCCGCTGCGGCCGGCGTTTCGGCTGGACAGGAGGAAAGAGTTTTTTWAAGTTTTTTCCCTCTACTGAACGTGTCCACGCTGGGATTTGTCCTTAGTTTCGGCCGCTGTGGTTGTCTTTGGGACTGGAGCTGGAAAGAACCTGTCTGACAGAAACACGGTGAGCTAATATCTTCATTACATTTTAGAGAAAAAAGTATTAGTTCCACCACACCATCAAACAGTTGGTCCTCAGGAAAAACTGCAGTTTATTATATATATA